CTGCCAGGAGGAGAAGCCGTGCCGAGCCCATGGAAGGAAGGCGCGGTTCCCAGAGTCCTTCCCTGCCTGTGGCTGATCTCTGTGACATGCTGGTTCCTGCCAGGGAGAGGGGCTGGGGCTGAGGGAGGGCGGATGAGGCCGTTCACGCTCTGCGGGCGTTCTGTGGGGGTAGCTCTGTAGCAGATAGACATGAGCAGAGCTCTTCCTGTGTGTCAGGCACAGGGCCTGGGTCCCCTTTGAGCCGTCCGGCTTTATTCTCCCTGGGGCTCACTTGCCTCTCGATGCAATGGAAATAATCTCCTCATCGGTCTTGTCATTTTAGAGGGAAATATCTTTGAGGGGGGACTTTTCTTCCCTGCGTCCAATTGCATGCCCTGACACAAGCATCTTGTGTGACCTTGGTCAACTCACTTAGAGTGTCTGTGTCCGGTCCACTGTCTGCAATAGCTATTACAGAGTGTCCCTGCATCCCAGGGCTGGGGCAGGATACATACAGTAGGTAGGGGTGATGCTCCGCTCCATCTAAGCACCCCGATAGCACAGTGGGCTCCTGATTGACACCGGAGATCCCAGCTGCTGCTGTGACTGTTAATCTTTGCTTCATGTAGCCACTGCGGCGCTGTACGAATTGGCGTCGTTATGGCTGCTCAGGGCGGCTCTTTCTGGAGCTGTGATCCCGGCTGTGCAGTTTGCGCCCTTTCTGTGACTTCTCCTTTCCTACACTGACACAAACAAACAAACATTGCGCTCCGTGTGTCCCTCCCTCCTTAGCCTCCTGCCTGCTCGTTTGATGCACAAGGGTCAGTGTGCTCCTCTGCCATGTCTTAGGAGTGCGTGTTGGCAGGTACTGCATGGATGGCGTGTTTTATTGCCCTCCTCCACACTCGGGAATGGGCTTGCCTGCGTAGCTGGGACCCAGTGCCCTCCCATTTGGCCAGGGCCAGGCCTGTTCAGGTTCAGAAATGATGTCCACACACAAACAGGGCAATTACAGTCACCACATCACAACATTCCCATTGGCACTGCGCATGGCACACTTTGCACAAGGTTTGGTTGCAGTTGTGTAACTGGTAGCACAGTGGCCGACGTGGTCGTGTTTCAATCCTATAAGGTCACAGCGGGCAGGGGATCTTCACAGCGTTAAGTGAAGGTCTGAGACGGGCTCTTGCGGAAGGGGTGAGAACGAGCTCTTGCGATGCACACACTGGGCAGCCGAGGGCGGCGGGAGGGCAGCAAGGGGGGAGGAGCCTCTCTGGGTTGGCGACTCGGATCCTGGCTCTGGAAGCAGTAATGGCACAGACCTTAATGAACAAGATCAGCAATGGGTTCATTGCTCCCCGGGCAGGATTTCTAGTCTCCAGAGCTCACGTGATCTCCTGGGTGGAGCGAGGGGAGGAGCTGCGGATCGTGGCTCTCCAGGGCTCTGAGGAAGGGGGGCTCAGCAGCGACACCCGCACAGGGGAACAATCAACTAAACTGACTCAGAAACCAATTTCTATGTCCTCATAGCAGGTGTCACTTCTGCATTTTCATCAAGTCTAACTGACCTGTCTGCCTGTGATCCAGTTCATCCAGAGAGTGTGGGGGCGGGGGAGCCTACGCTCTCTCCTTTGGGAACGGATTGTGAGGAAGGAGGAGGAACTCGACTCATGTTCATTCCTCCTTTCCAGCCATGTGTTGGGTGTGTTCCCCCTTTTCTGTCCCCCTGTCAGAGTTTTCCCTTCAGCTCAGCAGAGAGACTGACTCCTGTCTGGATTCTCTCTCTATCCCAGCAGGTGACGGGACGCTGAGTGAGAACAATGAGGAGAGTCTTCAGCAGCAAGGACCGGAGCACGTGGCTGCATGTGGCGTGTTACTGGGAAGACCTGAAGGGCATGTTTATGAGCGTCCTGAGTGGGAAGAGACCTGGGAAAGACAATGTAGCCCAGAATGGCAGCAGGGAAACCAGGCAAGGGAGGGACAGGGTAAATCCAGTCACAGCAGCAGAGGGGAGAAAAGAACCATAGAAATAGTTCAACAGAAAGTTCCCTATGAGTACACACTCTGCTCGTGTAATGAGTGTGAACACGAAAGAACCCACCTAGGAGAGAAGCCCTTTAAGTGCTCTGACTGTGGGAAATGTTTCAGTCAGCAATTGCACTTTACTAACCACCAGATAAGACATACAAGAGAGACACCCTATAACTGTTTTACCTGTGGGAAAAGCTTCAGTGAGAGCTCCAAGCTTGTTAGGCATAGGAGAACCCACGAAGGGGACAAACCATTCAACTGCTCTGATTGTGGGAAAAGCTTTTGTCAGAGGTCACACCTTCTTAGACACAGGAGAACCCACACAGGAGATAAACCCTTCAGCTGCTCCGACTGTGGGAAAAGCTTCTATCAGAGGTCACACCTTGTTACTCACAAGAGAACCCACACGGGGGAGAAACCCTACATCTGCTCTGACTGTGGGAAGAGCTTCAGTTGCAGCTCACACCTTGTTAAACATTGGAGAATACACACCGGTGAGAAACCCTTCATCTGCTCTGACTGTGGAAAAAGCTTCAGTAAGAGGTCAAACCTTGTTACCCACAGGAGAAGCCATACAGGGGAGAAACCCTTCAGTTGCTCTGAGTGTGGGAAAAGGTACAGCAAGAGTTCAAATCTTGTTAGGCACAGGAGAAGCCACACAGGGGAGAAACCCTTTAGCTGCTCTTATTGTGGGAAATGCTTCAGTCAGCGCTCACTCCTTACTGACCATGAGATAATACACACAAAAGAGACGCCCCATAACTGCTCTGACTGCGGGAAAAGCTTCAGTCAGAGGTCAAACCTTGTTAGACATCAGAGAATCCACACGGGGGAGAAACCGTTCAGCTGCTCTGAGTGTGTGAAAAGCTTCCGTCATAGTTCAGCCCTTGTTAGACACAGGAGAACGCACACAGGGGAGAAACCGTTCAGCTGCTCTGACTGTGGGAAAAGCTTCAGTGCAAGTTCAAACCTTGTTACTCATCGGAGAATCCACACCGGAGAGAAACCCTTCAGCTGCTCTGACTGTATGAAAAGCTTCAGTCAGAGCTCAGAGTTTCTTAGACATCAGAGGATGCACACAGGAGAGAAACCCTTCAACTGCCCAGACTGTGGGAAAAGCTTCAGTCGGGGGTCAAACCTCATTACCCATAGGAGAACCCACAGTGGGGAGAAGAGTGGGCAATAATTTTTGCAGGGGTCTACTTCATGAATTTTGCTATGTGGTCCCAGGCCAGCTACAACCCCACCTAGAATGGGTGGGGCTGGAGTTTAACCTCCCCCCCAAAGTTGTCTTGGGCCAGATACATAGCTAAGGGCTTGCACTCCCCAGCCTTGTTGCTACTGTTTGCCTGGCAGCTGCTGGGGTTGCTGCAGCTTTTTTAACATTCTCGTGGCTCTGGCTTCTGCCACAGTCACATAGCGACCGTGAACCATGAGCCATTTTGATCGGAATCTGCTGCTTGAGCTACCACTTGGAAATTTGGCAGCAGCAGCAACAGGAGAAAAAGAAAGCGGCCAGATGCCGTCCGTGAGCTGGATCATGCCCATGTTTGCCACAGCCTATGAAATAGCACGCAAGTACTTAGGGCTTTGGTGAGGAGAGGTGCCTCTGCCCACTAGTCTCAACTCTGGCCCAGACCGTACTCAGTAGGATGGCTTTGGCCCGAGAGCTGCGGTGGCAGGGAGAATTGTCTTTCCACCACCCCCCCTTCCTTGCAGCAGCAGCTGAGATGCGGGGAGAGATGTGGTGGGAGTCTTCTCTCCCAGATGTAGCCTTTCAGTGGCCTACACCTCACACCCCTCCATCCTTGAGATCACCCCCAGGCTGGAGCCTTCACCCCTTCACACCCCAAACTGCTATCTCAACCCTGAGCCCCCCAACTCCACCCTAGAGCCAGCCCTCACACCCTTCCTAGCCAACTCTTTTCCACAGCCCTGAGCCCCTTCCCACAATCCAAACCCCCTGAGTCCCGCTGCTATGACATGAACTTAGTTCTGTGCATTAGACTGGAGATGTCGCACATTCCCCTGTATAGAACCCCCTAACAAAACTCATTCTGCACATGTGTGGGGAAGAAACATGGAGCGCTGGGTATAACTGCTCTGCCTGTGGGAACTAGAGAGTATTGAGCAAGAAGCCAGGAGAACCAAAAAGAAGAAAGCATTGCGACTTGAATGGGAAGGGATACATGCCTGCTGTCTTTCTTTGTGCGAATTTAAAACCAGGAGCTGGGGAAAGGAAGGTGAATGAAACCAGGCAGAACTGCCATGCCTGCAAAGAATGTAGGGTGTAGAAATAGACTGGACTTTGAGGCTCTGGTATGTGAGTAGAGAAGTTATTTTCATTGTTTAGCTAAACTTCTCTGTGCCAAATCCA